GTAATCAATGCATCTTCATGGAACTTAGAACTGATTAGAGTCTGTAGAACATACGTCTCTAAAGTTAGCGGAACAAGGTCAAAACATCGCCTCAACGGTTCTTTAGATATTGCAGTAAAACTAGTAAATCAACGTCGAAAAATGACATTTTTTTACAAATTTGGCGATTTCTCTCAAAGTAACGATCGGATCGATTTCTCTCCATCATAATCGATGGAGCTTTGTGTACCTAAGACTGGAGTGAAATTCCAGCAACATTGTCTCAGCGGTTCTGGAGTTATTCAAATATGAATTGTTAGCTTCCCGACCCGAAGTGAGGAAGTTATTGTAATGACCCCGAAAATCGAATGTGGAATTTCGATGATTCCTCCACATTTCTTGACCTTCGGAATCATCCTGATATATTTTTGAAGACATGTCTGTACATGTATGTGTGTGTGTGTGTGTGTGTGTGTGTGTGCGTGTGTATGTGTGTACGTATGCGACCAAAATTTTGTCCAACGATATCTCCTGAACGAATGAAGCGATTGATTTTTTTCTTCCTTCAAACGATGCGTGTTCATGTAACTTAGAACTGTTTAGTTTATGAAAACAATTGACTCAGCGGTTTTTCATTTATCTACATAAAACTTGTAAAAAAAATGCCAAAAAGCGTCAATTTCATAGAAATTCGACCATTTTACCTAAGGTAACGATGGGATTTGAATTAATTTTGTGTAATCGATGCGTCTCTACATAACTTGATTTTTATTGGATTTTGAGCAAAATCGCCTCAGTGGTTGTTGAGTTTGTCAAATAAAACTTTCGAATTTTGCAATTAAAAAAAAGAGAAAGTCGGAAAATTTTAGAGTGGGTTAACTTACACTTTAAAGTTACAAAAGTTACAAAATTTTGAAGTGGGTCAACTTTGAAGCTGCAAATTTTTAAGTGGATCAGCTTCGGAGTTAAGAGAATTTTAAAGTGGGTCAAGTAAAAAGTGGGTTTAACTCAAACTTGATTGAAGTTTGAGTTAAATTAAATTGCAAATGTGTTCTTTGCGAAATCACCCTAAGGGTAATGCCACAATGGATGCAACGCTAAAAGCATGCAGCGCATGAAATAATTATCCAACTGTTTTCCGAATATTTCTGACAATGACTAGCGTTGCGTATAGCGTGTGTCGCATTCACTGTGGCATGACCCTAGCGTCAACAAAAACAAATGGTCGGGAAGTTATTGGTTCGACCCGTAATAAGTCACATTCAATTCCACCAACCCCTACCGCTCATACCCCAAAGAGGGAACGCGCGACCGGGCCTGATTTTTTTTTCTGATTTTTAGTGAACAATTTCTAAGAATAAGTGAAAACTTCACTTATTTCCAGGATCTTTTATTCTCTACGAGAGTTCTGAAATTCAGAGATCTTAACTGGAAACTAGGAAGTTTTCTTTCCGTACTAATCTTCACTTTTCCCCATCCAGGGATTAGTATTGACCCTTCCCCAAACTCGTAAAACTGAAAATCACTACGGAAAAATATCGTTCACGCCTAGTGCCATGGGGTTTTTTTACTCGCGTATTGGCCACAGAGTTGCCAGATATGGCTATAAATCGCCAAACTGGTGGTTTCGGAACCCCTCTGGCGGGACAAATTTGTCGCCAACTTGCTAATTCGCCAACTAGCGGTTTGGAAAATTTTGTGAAAAAAAAAATTCTGCAGCCATCACTTGCAATTTCTAATGTCTTCTCAGGGAAAAAATAGTATCCGTCGCTTGAATTTTCGCGCATATTTTCGGCCGGGGATTTTTGCCTTATAGCGTTGACAGCCATGGTTACTGCTTGCCCAAATGCATGGCACAAGCGCCAGAGCGAGTCGAACGTATCCACACGTAAATCACGTGATATTGTTTTGATTTGTGACCGGGTACAAGTTTCTACAGGTCATTCTTTTGGTCATTATTGCATTATTTCAGAATATTTTTATGATTTTGACAAAGCGGATGACTCTACGTAAAATGATAGTCATTAAAAATCGATCCATACTGAATAAATAATCGAATAAACAAATTGATAGACAGAGGAATAAATCAGCCACCAGTAAGAGTACCAAGCCCTCTAGATCCGCGGTTTCCGCCTCGCAGTTCTATAGAAAAGTTCAAGAGAGTAAAAATAATGAAGTGCCAAGACCCTACAATACGACTTGGGAAGGAGAGGAACGATTTGCAGGTAATTTAGTGTGAACCATCGATAGGTAAACTTCTATATGCATATCGATTATATTAAAAATTTTTAGGGTGGTTGAAGCAGGCTCCAGGCAGTGTTTTTATTAAAAATAGACGAGAGGCCTACTGCCAATGATGCCTAAGTGGTTTACGTGCTCATAAAACAGATCTCGATAATCATGCCCAGTCAATCCGTCATCAGCAACGAGCAAAGGAAATTGTCGGCTCGAAACAAGAATTTAGCACAATGTGGTGAGATATTTAATGTATTCAATTGTGTCTTTTCAATTATTGTAAGTCTATCTCAAAAATGAGTGATTTTGAAAGGATATTGCTAGATTTTTCGCTAGCTGAAAGAATTCTCTCCGAAAATCTTTCTTTTCTCAGTGATTTCAAATCAATTCTGTTCTCTAATGCTTCCCTTGTATTGGTTCCTAGGTGTTTCCAAGAAATCTGATGCTTCGAAAAAGACAGACATTTCCCTGGTGGTACACGTAGCATGTTACAGTTCAGCACAAATTATCGATTATCTTTCTGAACTGTTGAAAAAGCTTGGTAGTGGAAGTGCTTTTGAAAAGTTACAACTTCATCGAACGAAAGCATACAAATTGATTTTAAATGTAATATCACCTGCTTTGATGAAAGAGCTGATTGATGATGTTGGGGACGGATATTTTGCCATCATCGTCGATGAATCCACGGATGTGTCTTGCTGCAAATACATGGCGTATGCTATCAAATATGTCAGTCAACGAAGTCAAAAAATTCTCACCAACTTTTTGGGATTTACTCGAGTGACATCAGCTACTGCAGAACAACTCCATATTGACTTCAAGCAATTCCTGAGTGATAGTGGCCTAAACATTGAAAAGATGACTGGGGTTAGCACAGATGGAGCGTCCAATATGTGTGGGAATAATCACAGTCTATTTACACTACTCCAACAAGACCAAGCTACATTGCAACTCCTGAAGTGCATGGGCCACTCTCTCAGCTCAGCAGCTTCGAAAGCGGCGGATGAATTACCCTCAGAAGTTGAGAATTTGATGAAGCAAAGCAAGAAACACTTCTCTCACAGTTCAGTTCGTATTGACAAATGGGAGGAACTGTACAAGAGCATGAATGAACACAGTCATCCTCAAACAATGGGATGAATTAAAAGAATTTTTCGACAAAGCAGCGATGTCTTTCGATAAGAAGAACACGGATGGTCGTATATTATCAGACACATACAAGAAGGATTCTGTCTTATTGTATCTAAAGCTTGTGGAGAGTGTACTGAGAGATTTTATAGCTTTAAATATTGCCTTTCAGAAAGCAAATGCTGATATTACTGTTCTTCATAACGATCTGCGTACTTCGATAATGTCTCTAGCTCGACAAATTTTCAAACCTACATTCCGCAAACCAATTATGCGTCAGTCCAATCCATCGAATGCCATGTTGCAGCAACCTGATCTGGAAGTTGTAGAAAGGGCTATTGACAAAGCCGCAGATCAATTTGGTAACTCCCTGTTATGGATGGATGCAGTAGACTTTGGTCTAAAATTCTCCGATTATGCCGAACAGTGTACCTCGAAGGGGACAATCTTGACTGAAGACTTAGTAGCTGTCAAGTAGAGGTCTCAGGCATATATCTTGAAGCTAGTCACTGAACCTATGGAAAGACTGCCAAATAATCTCGAGGTGATCGAGAAAATCAGTTGTTTCACCCCTGCAGTGTGTCTCTCCCAAACAGCATCTGTCTCCGTGAAAGATTTGCCTTGGGAGCTCGCAGGTAATTAATTCCCCCTCTTATATCGCAAATAGAAGTCTCTCCTCCATACCCACGGTTAATTCACTATTACAGATACCACTATTGATCGACACAGAGTGGAAAGCCAATTACGACAACACCAGACAAAAAAAATGCCTGACATTTCTCCAAATTTCACTGATAAAGTGAGTCCAGAGGAATTTTGGATTGTGGTGAGGCGAATAGAAAGTAATAATGGAGAAAAAGTCTTCAAAGATTTAGCATTTTAGATTTTGCTCTGAGAGCTCTGATTTTACCTACGAGCAACGCTGACATTGAACGCATCTTCAGTGTTATGACAATTGTCAAAAATAATTTGAGGAATTGCATGCTTCTACCCATGCTGGTAGCAATCATACGAATTAGGGTACACTTGAAAGTTTACGGTCGCTGTTGCTGGGATTACGAACCTACTGCTCACATGCTGGACTTATTCAATAGTAAAATTTATGAGAGAGATGGAAGAAAGAAGGATGGAGGGGAGGAAGAGCCCACTGATAGTTCAAGCTCTCGAACTCACTGAAGCTGATGAAATGTTTAATTTGCTTGCCCGATTCGAGGAACAGTGCACAAAGTTTTAATACCTGTTACTAAATGAGATTATTTATCTAACTGATAAAGTTCACGTTTCAGATATGTATTACTGGTTTCCATGGCAGAGAAAAATATTAAATATTCGATTTATAGATCGTAGAACATTAATGAAAATGGAATTTTTGAATTAATTGCCCCTCAAATTGTCCCCCACCCACAATGGCGGTTTTTTGGCGTTTTCAACCGCAGACAGTGGCGGGCTCTGGCGGTTTCCGTCGAGAGCGCTGGCGAAAAGGGGTCCTCAGTATCTGGCAACCCTGATTGACCAGTCCTCGCCTTCGGCTCGGACGCCAACTGCACGGGAGTAAAAACCCCATGGCACTCGTCCTGAAATATACTATTTATGTGTAATGTTTTATATTCATCAATTTCCGGAGGTCGAATAATTACAATTTCTCTTCTGCTCATCAGCTACAGCCAAACGAATTAGGAATGAGCCCAGAACAACGCTCAGAAGACGCACCAGCACTCGTTCACGTGGCACAGCACGTACCAGTACAGTACGACGAATGTCAACAAATGTTCCTGATGCTCAGAATATGTCAATGCTCCCAGATTTATCCGAGAATTTATCGAATGAGGAACGTACGTGGGAAGAAATTATGCAAATCAAGACGATGCCCGTCTGCATGGCACAAAAAATTCAGCTCAAGAGGCAACTACAGGTACTAAGCAAAATTATTTCTATTTTTCGGTTGGAAAATTCATTGGATGTTTCTAAAATTTTCAATGCAATCTAATGATATTCTCTGCAATAATAATTCGCAACGACCTGATTTTCAAATTCTCTCCATTCAATGAGGGTAAAATTTCCATACCTAAGAAATTTCATCATTTTTCTGCATGAAAAATTGAGAAAATTCGATCAATAACTTCATTATCTGAAGATAAAAAAAGTGCAAGGTATATTTCTGGATCCTTCCAATCAGAACTGTACATTTCCCCATTAATTATTTAATTATTTAAACTCTCCTGGAATAACAATGAAATGAAGATTAGAAAATTTTTACCATCCATTTCAATCAGACTTAATCACGTTGATGAGTAACACCATGTTATCCACATATGATGGCGATGATAAATTCCATCAGATTGAAAAAAAAGATTATCTTCCAATATTCTTTCCTTAATGCTCTCATTTCGAAGATAAATGCAAAAAATGATAGCCAAATAATTATACATAAGAAGTCAATCTCTCAAATGTATCGAAATATAAAATTTTCTTACTAAATATTAATTCTAGAAGCAACATATAAAAACAAACAATCCGTTGAAAGCTTCGTCGAACACAATACTGTTCTCCAGACAAATTCTGGTCTAAATTCAAAATATGCCTCAAAAATTAATCTCGAAACAATTTGACTGAAAATACGAAAAAATCAAACAAATTACTTGTTCTAAATTCTCACAAAAAAATGCAATATTAAATTAACAATTGGCTCCCTCGTTGTTCAACAGAACGCTACAAAGCTCCGACTACAAGGCTTTGAGCAGCTGAAATGGCAGCGCAGGAAAGCCTGGCAGCAATTCCAGATCCGTCTAAAAGAAGCCTACTCCAAGATGGAATTATGGAGTACTTCCCTCAAGAAGATCGGTGGAAATTTCGGTATGGGAATCGTGGCATACTTCCTCTTTATAAAGTGGTTGATGTATCTGAACATAATCCTCTTTATCATAATGTTTTGCTTCATTTCCCTCCCATCAATCGTCCTCACCCCCTCCCCTGAGAATTGCACTGGAAACACCAGCAGCATCGCCTGTTGCTCGGAGACATATCTGAATGTGTCCCATGAGACGAGCAACATAATCGACATAATGCAGGGTGGTAGTCCTCTGGAACGAACAATCCTCTTCTACGGAGTCTATACCAACGAAATATACGGAAGATTTAATGACGAAATCCACTACAATCTTCCATTAGCCTATATCTGCACGACAATAAGCTTTTTTCTCATAAGTCTAATCGCAATAGTTCGATCAGCAGCCAAAGGATTCAGAGAACGAGTGACAGAAGGTGAAGGACAATTTTATCAGTACTGCAATTTAATTTTCGGTGGATGGGACTTTTGCATCCAGAACGAAAAGTCAGCTGACATAAAGCACAAAGCCCTCTACAATGAGATAAAAGCGTTCTTAGAAGCTGAACGATTGGAGGAAGAAAGACAGAATCGAACGAGAGAGGAAAATATTAAACTTTTTCTCGTTAGATTAATTGTAAACCTTTTGGTGCTTGCAGTCTTAGCAGCTTGTGGATTATTCATCTATTACATAATCGATGTTTCCTTTGATAGAGTCAGCAATCCAGTCATCGACTCATCTGAGGAAACAGGTTACATCTCTCTGAGGAAAATAACACAATTACTCTATGAATTTCTTCCTTATATCTGCATCGTTGGGCTCAACGTCATTGTTCCTTTCTTATTCCGATATCTAGTGGCACTGGAACATTATTCTCCACTTTTCGTCGTGAGATTGACACTATTCAGGATTGTGTTCTTACGATTAGCTTCATTGGCACTTCTGCTGACGAGTTTGTATAAGATCATTGCTGTTAAAGTGGACGAAGAAAAGTGCACTAATGTAGAGGGACGACGTCCAGTCTGCTGGGAGACTTTTGTAGGCCAGCAATTCCTTAAATTGTATGTGACCGATTTGTTCACTCAATTCTTTGTGACTTTTTTCGTCAATTTTCCGAGGTCCCTGATTGCCAGACACACAGAGAACAAATTGCTGCGGTTCATTGGAGAGCAGGAGTTTGATCTGCCTCACCATGTGTTGGATATTGTTTATTCACAGACTATCTGCTGGGTTGGGACATTTTTTGCTCCTCTACTGCCACTTGTTGCAGCTGCTGGGTGCTTCTTATTATTTTATTTCAAGAAGTTTGCATGTCTGGTTAATAGCACGCCCTCGAGTCATGTTTACAGGGCGAGCAGGTCAAATTCTTTATTTATGTTTGTGCTGCTAGTTTCCTTTATTCTTGTGACTATTCCTGTGGGGTATTCAATCGCTGAAATCGAGCCTTCGAAATCGTGTGGACCTTTCAGGGGTCTCGGAACTGTTTGGAGTTTCTTTATTGGAACTTTCGAACAGTTCCCTGGGTGGATTCAGTCGGTGCTGTTCTTCCTGGGGACTGCTGGCTTTGGCATCCCTGCTTTTATTACTTTATCATTACTTCTGTATTATTATTATGCGGTTTCCATTGCGAATAAACATATGGTGATTGTACTGAAGAATCAACTAGTACTTGAGGGGCATGATAAACAATTTTTGTTAAATAGACTCAGTGCTTTTATCAAGCAGCAGCAGGAACAGTCCAAGTATCAACAAGATCAGTCGATTGATTTAGGGAATTTTAACTAGATTTAGAATTTGCAATATGAAAGGTATAGATATTTTCAATCAATTCTTTCGAGAATATCTTCGAAACGAATGGCTTTAACGGGAAATGTTCAAAAATATTTCGTGTAGTACTTAAATGGAATTTGTCCACAAGAAAGGTCTTTTGGTGACATCGGAATCTATTATGGATTAACATCCTACTACCCTTTCACTAGTATTTTTGACAGATAATTCATTTCATCTTAGATATTTTTAGCGAAAGAGTCATCCATAAATGAAAGAGATTTTTTTACAAATAACAGAAATAACTGAAACCAAAAAATTTCGACATACTTCAACAACGTCATAGTATTTTCAAATCAGTGGAGTTCCTTCATTTTTTGAAACAGTTGATGTTTCGCAATGAGATCCTATTTACCAAATTTACAACTCTCACATTCTAATTACACGATATACATATTGAATTCTACTACATTGAAATGAACAAACTAGATTTCCCATAGTACAATCTGAATTCCACATTGGATTATTCAAATTTGTAAATGTACAATTTGTTGTGTGCAATTCGACAGAGATAATTTGAGCATGTGTCATTCAATAAAAACGAAAATCCACCAATCCAGGCCCGAGTTACATGCATTTTGTGTGTTTCTTGAATTGCACATGAATTATGTATGTCGAATAGCATAAAATAAATTAAACATTTTCTAGCATAAACGCTACACCGTACAATTCAAATTGCCTAATACAATTTAGTTGAATTAAAAATGGACAACTTGCAATTACAATGTGGGATTTAAATATCCTATAGACAAAGTCTTAATGCAAAACACCCTATGTATCAAAACATGAACGAAAACGATGGTATTGTGACGTTTGGGCGTTTTTTCCGATGGGTTAAAAAATAATCTAACAACCAACGATGAGAAATCCTCGGGTCGCCAAGCTGACCCTCTGCTTCGGCTAAGTGCTCCGGTCGAGCTCACGAGGAGTTCGCTCACTTTAAGGATGTAAATTGGGAGAATAAACTCGGGATAAATGTCTTTAAATAAGAACACCGCTCGAATGATTAAATGATAATATAATAAGTGATCCTTTTAACGTTATACAAGACAACGTAATAAACCGGGTTCAGTGTAACGCGTTATTAAAATTATTCAAAAGTTCTCAGCGGAAGGACCGACTATCCTGTTTCGCCTCTGCCCGTGATCTGCCTCAATTTTGGAGCTGTAACTAGTTGCTAACCCAAAACTGCAAATTAAGCATTCTCACGGTTTTAAACTAAGACAGCCATGCTGCTGTCATTGACGGTCTCCACACAGTCAAACAGTTCCTGAACGGAAACTGGACTCAGGTAACACCGTGAGACTGCTTAGGTAAGGCAGTCAGTGTCTGAAGAAACTGAAATTCTTTCAGTTTCTATCCACTTGAAATAAAATGGAAAATATTATTTCCTAAAATAAAATAACCGACGTATAGACTGGGTCCATACGTCACAGTATGCAACAGGTAATTTTGCCAGAAAAATGTTATGAAAATATACGAAATTTTCCATTCTCCATTTCTTTGCAATTTTTTTATTGATTAAACTCATAAAAAAATATCTTGCCGGATACAGAGTGTAAATCGAAAAAAAATCCCATGGAGAAATTAAATGAAGCGATAAATTACGCTTTTCGGAACAATGAAAAATACATTTTCAAAGTGATAATACCAAGGACCTATTTTGCACACTAGGATTAACGATAATATCCATGTAATTTAATTCATTAAATTTGTAAATAATTTGAGAATTGAATTCATATACTCACATGAGCAGTTGGACGGCTGATTACAACTGATACAAGGCTTTAAATATCTAGTGATATCAATCGAAGAGAACTAGAGAAATATAGAATTCATGATCTCAGATTTATCAGAATAATAACGAAATACCATGAACTTTATGTGCAATATGTGACGATATTTATTATTAATGAAAATAATAGTATATTTCTAACCTGGGGAGGGAAAATAAAGGATCCTCAGCCGCCAGTGCAATTACCAGCCGAGCCGAAGGCGAGGTTGGTAAGCACGCGGCTGAGGGTCCTTATTTTACTTCCCGTGGTTAGAACGCGATTTTCCGTCTCGGCGTAGGCGCAAAGTCAGAGTTCCCTGCCGCTTCGCGGGAGGGAAATGTAACTTTGCGCCCGCCGGGACGGAAAGATTATTTATCCTTTTCCAAAGCCAATCTTTAAAACCAAAAAGAATAGTATATTGTGCATCAAAGGCGAAAAGTCAAAACTTTCCGTCCGAGTTGCACATGCGATTTTTTAACACGCCTGCAAAGGAAAACTCGTATTTTGCTCTTTGATGAGCGGGAGGAAAGTATGAACTTTCTGTGCAGGGGTGTGAAAAATGTTTTCCGTCCCGGCGGGCGCAAAGTTATATTTTCCTCCCGCTTCGCGGGAGGGAACTCTGACTTTGCGCCTACGCCGAGACGGAAAGTCGCGTTTTAACCACGGGAAGTAAAATAAAGGACCCTCAGCAGCGTGCGTACCAACCTCGCCTTCGGCTCGGTTGGTAATTGCACTGGCGGCTGAGGATCCTTTATTTTCCCTCCCTAGGTTAGAAATACACTATTGTTTTCTTTTTTTATCATGAAAATTAAAGCTTTGAACGGATTCTAACGACTTTTTGTACAGGTTTTTATAGTATTTATAACTAAAAATTATTCAAAACAATCATGTGCAGAGAAAGCAAATATCAATAATGATTATTGCTTCTTATTAATTCGTGAACTCAACATCGTAATTTAATGATTGGATTATCATATATCATACGTATCATCTAAATAACTCCTAACAATGAAATAAAGTTTTATTTCAATTTTGGAACTTTGGAACACTCCAGAGAAAGAAAATGTCGAAATATTTCACTTATGTATTAAGCACAAAAAATGAAAATGAAACAGACGATTTCGATGGCTTGTCCTTATTTTAACGTTACTTCCAGAGTAAATTAGATTGTAAACAATAAATAGCTGTATTGTGTACCTATTGCAGTCCCAGGCGAAAATAATAATTGAATGGACTATTCAAATCTTGCCAATAGAGATCAAAGATGTATCAGTATTTCTCAAATATATTTAGTGTGGTTCATAGATGCTATGGACGTTTAATAAAAATATCAAAATGGATTATGTGGTGTTTCAGTTATTCATTAACTCTTGTGACGGCGATTTCCTGAACGAACCAAATAAAATCCAAATCCTCTATCCGCAGAAAATCTGGCGATTTAGGATGCCCGGAGTAGCGTGGATGCAGCGGGTATGCTTGCGGGCATGCTAGTTTTGGATGAAAACGTCCGAAATTCAATGAAAAAATGATGAAAAAGTTGATTGATGAATTATTTATTTTAATTCACAGCGTTATTTTCCATCAATTATAATAAATAATCGATAATGTAATGTATGGCAATAAGAGCCTAGGTTGAGGGATGTCGGGAGATGGTACCAGCGTTGAATTACCGACTTGGTCGGTTAAGTCAGCGTTATATACTCGGTCGACGAAAGATTAATTATTATTTTTCATTGATGGTAATCGTTTGGGAATGGATTGGGGATGTTTAGGAAATCATTATCTTTATTAATTAAATTAGAAAATACGTTTATTTGGCGAACGAGTATTATAGAAGGAGACCAAAATTATATACATTTACTAGGACTTGTTTGGGGAACTCATTAATAATTTTTATTTCGTTTGGGAAAGGGTGAAAAATTCCATTTTTAAGGGTTGAAGCCAAATAATAACATTAAATATTTTTGATAACATTTCTTTCTTTCTTGAAGGAGAGGGGTGGAGGGCAAGGGGGCGAAGAGGTTAGAGCCAAATAATATTATTAATTATTTCTTATAACAATGTCTTCTCTTTTGGAACAGAGGGGTGGAGGGGGAGGGGGCGAAGGGGTAAGAACCAAACAATATTATTAACTATTTTTTATAACAATTTTTTCTCTTTTGGAACAGTGGCGGAGGGGGAGGGGGCGAAGGGGTTAGAGCCAAATAATATTATTAATTATTTCTTATAACAATTTCTTCTCTTTTGGAACAGAGGGGCGGAGGGGGAGGGGGCGAAGGAGTTTCAGCCAAATAATATTATTTTTGATGAAAAAAATTTCTCTTTTGGAGCAGAGGGGCGGAGGGGAAGGTGGCGAAGGGGTTAGAGCCAAAAAATATGATTAATTATTTTTGATGTTTTTTTTTGGAACAGAAAGATGGAGGGGGAGGGGGCGAAGGAGTTAGAGCCAAATAATAATAATAATTATCTTTTTGAGAGAGTAGAGAATTGGGGTCGGGTGCGTCACCGGGCCAACTCTCTACTCTCCACTTTTGTAGTGAGTAGAGAGTTGGGGCTGGGTGCGTCACCGGGCGACCTCTCTGCTCTCTACTTTTGTAGAGAGTAGAGAGTTGGCCCGGTGATGCACCCGACCCCAATTCTCTACACTTTCAAAAAGATAATTATTATTATTATTTGGCTCTAACCCCATCGCCCCCTCCACCCGCTGCTACAAAAGAGAAAAAAATGCTATCAGAAATAAACAATATTATTATTTAACTCTAACCCCCCCTCCCCCCCTCTGTTCCAAAAAAAACATTATCAAAAATCACTCTATATAATAAAAAAATAAGCCCGNAGCCAAATAATAACATTAAATATTTTTGATAACATTTCTTTCTTTCTTGAAGGAGAGGGGTGGAGGGCAAGGGGGCGAAGAGGTTAGAGCCAAATAATATTATTAATTATTTCTTATAACAATGTCTTCTCTTTTGGAACAGAGGGGTGGAGGGGGAGGGGGCGAAGGGGTAAGAACCAAACAATATTATTAACTATTTTTTATAACAATTTTTTCTCTTTTGGAANCACACCCATTCGGTCACACCGGGAGCCGGGAACGGGAGAAGCCAGCGGGGGCTTCAGGGCTTCAGGGGACGTCCCCATCCCTGGAGGGTCTCAAGGGTCATAGGGTCCCTAAGGGTTATAGGGGTCATAGAGGGGCCAAGAGGTATGAGGGCCACGAGGGTCACAAATGTACTAAGGCTCTTAAGGGTCACGAAGGTCATAGAGGTGCTAAGGGTCATAGAGGGGCTAAGGGTCATAAGAGTCACGAGGGTCTCAAAGGTCACAGGGGTCATAGGGGTTCTAAATGTCATAGAGGTTCTAAGGATCACGAGGGTCATAGGAGTGCTAAGG